AGACGCTAAATAGATACGTATACATTTTTTTCCGTTGCTTCTTTTCTCTGGTGGTTCGAATGGCTCTTTAAAGAGCAGAATCATTCTCTCCTTCCTGTTTCTCTTACTAAGCAATTAGCCGCCGTCAGCAAAGGCACAGCTGCATCGTGGGTTCTTCAGAGATAACCGAATGAAACTGATAAATGCAAAAAGAGGACGTTGTTATGAAAAAGGCAAATGAATCAGTTAGGAACAACTACTCATTATGAACTTCCTGGTAAATGATTAATAAGGCCTGGAGACATCAGGGGATGCCTGATACTTTTGTAAAGCCCTCGTGGATTTGACCTCAGCGTTGCCCTTTGACCCTTACATTCAGCTCTGAAATATTGGATCAAGGACTTTTCCTTTTCACACCTTCTCTAGTGCCTCTTTAATGTTGGAACAGCCCTTTTAAATGAACTGATCAGTCCCCTTGGAAGGTGTATGTGGGACTGAGATAAGGGTTGGACATTTCCTGGCAATGGACCAAACACAGGAAGTCTCAATGAGTTTATTATATTAGCCATGAGGATGGTGTGTGCAATTATTTTGGTTTGGAAACACGTGCAGGAAAGGAGGACTCCTGCATGTTTCTCTTCTTACCTTCCTCCCACACCAGAGTCTTATTGACCTTTCAGTGTAATAACCAGAGACGTCACAGGGGACGCGGTCAAACCTGCTCCTGTAAGCTTATTGCAGTCCCTCACTCATCTTCTGCAGCGTGTCATCAGCAAATGCAATCAGTCCCTCTTCTCTCCTATGTGGGTTGTTTTCTGTAAACAATAGAAAAGTTTTAGCCAAAGAAAAAGTGCATCTATCCCCCTGGCTTTATATATAATCATTCTGTTTACTAGAGAACTGTTTGAGAGCCAAGAGGCAGTTATCGATGACATCTGGAAGACAAAGTTTAAGTTTTTGACCAGAGGGGAACGTTTGCTTCCACTTGATAGTAACGGTTTGGAGGGGGTACTGAAACGTGGATGCTTTCTTTTCTTTCCTCCTCGGTGGCGTGGACTTTGAGGACATGTTTGAATCAACCCAAAATGCTTTGATGAATGTGAAGATTGATTTCTTTGATTTTGTGGAAAACACAACGAAAGGGTCTCGATCAAATTCAAGCCTTTGGAACATCTTTGAACCAACTAGTTTTTTAGCACTAGAGCACGTTCCAGTTCAGAATATTATTAAATGTTTAAACAGTTTGGCTCCATTCTCCTTATCAGAACTCTCTGCTACACCTCTTTCAGCTCTCTGAGGTCCTCTCGTCCATCCCTGTTGTGGCTCTGAGATCCAGAGTGAAAACCAGAATTAGAGCCTTTCTTGTGGATCAGTCTCTGAATGTTAGAGCTGCTCAGACTTCTGTTGAAGACCCATTTACTGGCTTTTAATTCCACCCAAACAGTGATTTAAATATTTGTTTTATTGTTTGTTGACGTTTAACCCTCCCTCTGTCCTAATGGATGTGACCCCGAGAGGAAAGTTGACCATTGAGCAGGATTGATGGTTTATCCCTCGAGGTCCACGTGGCAGGGGTGAGGTGGTGCTCACTCCTCACCCCTGTCACATGGACCTCAAGGGATAAACCATGCTAGGACCATGTGACAGGAGTCTTAAAGCTCTACGCAGAAGTCATTAGCTACCAAATCATCTAGCATCTAATCAAAATAATTAAAACAAATCAAACGTTTCCCTTCAATGTATTATATGGGGTGCATTTACAAAATGTCAGAACATTTAAATAAATAAACAGTGCATAATATTGCTGAAATGTAATGTAAAAACAGTGCTGTTTTTCTGTGAGTTGTTCCAGAAGCAACAGAAATGTGAGCCATCTTTTTCCAGATGATTGGTTACCTCTCTTTCCAAATGATGAGGGCTTTTTCGATTTGCTCTTCTTCCAGTCATCATCAGAGGAGTCTGAAGACCCATGTTTTTTGTATTTCTTCTTACGCTTCCTCTTCCGATCCTCATAGGAGTCATCTGAGTCAGAAGAGTCAGAGGAAACCCCATTTTGCATTGCCCTTTAATTTAGAAAAAGAAAATGTTAGAAGTTAGCAAATCTATGAGTTTTGAGTCTGAGTTCTCTTTATTATCATTATCACTTTCATTTATCATACGAAAAGAACAGCAGCATCACAAAAGCCTTTGTAGAGACTCGCGGCTGGTGTGGTGAATTTGGCTGAAAAGGTACAATGGTTGCAGTTGCAGAGATACATCAGTCCTGCATCCAGAGAGATAGCGGACAGCGGGGTTTGGCGATTTCAAGTGACTGACTGTCAGAATATGGAGCCATTTAAAACTTATTTTAACAAGAAACCTTTGTTGAATGTTCCTTTAACTAATCAAGACTCCTTTAGATTGTATTTACAGCCTTCCATTTTGGTTTTGGGGGGAACAGTATACTGAAGATACCTTTTGATGTTGTGTGGCCAACCTCTGTGTGGAGAGCCTTCTCTCTGTTGAAGTCACGCTGCTCTTTTAGCAACCGGTTCTCTTCTTCCAAGAGACAGATTTCTTCCTTCAGTAGCTGGCTTCCCCCCCTTAATTTTTGAAAGTCACCCTTCAACTTTGCCATGGTAGGTGTCTTGGTTGGTGCTTTTGTTGGTGCATTTTGTTGACTCTTCAACTACAAAAAGTGCAAAAAAATGTATTAAAACTTATTATGTTAGGATTATCATATTATTTCACCATGTTCATTCCCAACTTTCGGTTTAGTCATAAGCTAATTTATGTCCTTTATACTTCTAAGCTTTGTAGGTCCCTGAATACCCAGGTATGTAAAGTAAAATTAAGATAAAAAGCATTTATGGGGACCAGCTCGTCTTTAACAATAGAGTTCCTGACAGACTGCCACCATGCAAGACCACTGCGTGTACAACAAAGATTGAATAAAAAGTTGTTAGTTTATGGTTGCGACTGGCTATGGAGAAAACTTAACATGATTTATCTTACCATCATTGTTGTCAGACTCGATCAACATTGCAGAGTTCTCTGGTGTGGTGTCCTGCTTTCTTTTGGGTTTGCGTGTGTTCGGCATGACTACAAGGGGTAAAGGAAATAAATTAAGATATATTTTTCAGAAAGTAAAAAGATATTTGTAAACATTGTCAAGAAAATTCCATCAATAGCCAAATCTAGTTTACAACACGTGTGTATTTAATGTTGTCATGTGCCGGGGTGAGTACTCATCTCATTTTCTCATCTTTGAGTTGTGTGTTTCAGGAGAGGGAGGCTCCAGCTGCAGCTGATTTGCAATCAGCGGGTCTGGCTACAAAAGGAGGATGGAGAACTCTCCTCGACGCCGAATGATGACTACAGCTTGGTTTTGGAAAGTTTTTGGACTTCTGTGACTCCTCAGGATTACTCCCCCATAGACTTTCCGAACGCAGCTCTCATCATTCTTCATTCCTCCCGGCCGGCCGGCCCGCTCTCCTGCTCTCCTCTCGCTCCCTCTCCTGGACACCCCACTTGGATTCACCCCGGCACCCAACCTACCCTCCCTCATTCCTACGCTCCCCTACTCCCAGTAAGTCTATTCTCTGCACCCACCAAGTTTAGGCTTACTTTCCTGGACTCACCTGTGTCTACTCTCCCCTCCTCAGACACCCGTTCTCGATCTCCACTGGGCTTTTCCAGTGCACCTTCAGTTCCCATTTTAAAATTAAGATTCTTTGTTTTAACCATAAGATCTGTGAGTGTGTGATTCTGCATGTCTTGGGTTAAACACATTCCCCAAACCATGTCAAATGTCTCTTCCGTATGAATAGAAAATTCTCAGCTATGATAAAAAAAAGTCTCTCTGAGAAGTCATAGGCTTAATTTATCTCTTTAATGTAATAATATACATAAATGATAGTTTTCTATAAAATTTGTTCCCAAAGTGGGGTCAAGAGACCCCCACGTGTCCTTAAGGGAGTTCCAGTATGGGAGTCCCAGCAAAATTAGTTAATAATTAGTTAATATAGCATCAACATTTGTTGAAACCCTAACAGCTAAATTGGAATATTTTCCAAACATCTTAACACCACAGGTCTTGTATGGGGGTCACTGGTAAAAACACTTTTCAGATAGGTATATATATTGTAAATACTGTACTTATTTTCAGAAATTTTTTCTATTAAATTATTGTCTGTAAAATGATCTAATTAATTAATAAAGTGAAGAGGACAAATAGTTAAGGCACTGCTATGTATTCTCCAGTAAACTACATTCAGCCTCTAATCTTTTAAGAAGCATGACATGAAGCCCATGTGTCAAAGCTGACATACTGTTGATACTCAGTTTTATTAGAGATAACCTTCATTTTATTATTTAGGAATTTAAAGCTTTTCATCATGTCCTGTCCAGCTGATGCTATTATATTGTTTACATGTCAAATAATAGATTCTTATTATAGTCGATTTTACCACAGGTAACATCACCTAACCATTTGATTTCATGTCAGTACTTCACTGATCATGTGGCTTGTAATGTAGCAGCTATAAACCAGTGTGAATACAGACGGCTGATAAACGTAGGGAAGCTAAAGACAGACTGACAGCTCAGGACAATTTAAATGGAGGGTATGCAAATTTATGGACTGACTCAGACGGTTCGACCATGTGTGAGACGCATCAGATGAATTCTGGTGTTAAATGTGAACATACGACACCGGACATGTACTGAAAATATTATGTGAGAGTGGAGTCTGTCTGTCTCACCTGCAACAAGCAAACCATCAACCCTCGCCTCCACTTTCTGTCTGTCTTTGCTACACGCGGTGCAGAGCGCGTGTTGACTCTCTCTCTCTCTCTCTCTCTCTCTCTCTCTCTCTCTCTCTCTCTCTCTCTCTCTCTCTCCAAAAAGTTGAAGTAAATTGAGAAAAGGGGGTGGGGTGGAGTGTGTGTGTGTGTGTGTGTGTGTGTGTGTGGGGGGGGGGGGGGGGGGGGGGGGGTTCGCATGTCTTTCTTACCAAGGTGGAGGTAATGCAAAACATTCGTAGGTGGTTGTGTGACTGCAACTGCGTCCAAGTTTATCTTCCCCGTTCGTCATTACGTATGCTCCATTGGTGCTCTTACGCAGCACATTGAACGGGCGTGGCAGACTTACAAGGAGGACATCTACAGGTATGGGGGAACCTGACAGAGAAGGCCTTGAAGATGAACTTAAGGTTCATTGAGTGGAACCACTGGCTCGGGAAAGAGCATAGGAAGGGCATTCTTGGAAGCTTATTTAAAGACATAAAAGCATTTTACAAAGTGTAACCAGTAATGAAGGACATACTGTGTTGTGTTCACCTCAGTTGCCATTGTTTTCCGATTGAATGAAACACTAGTTAAGTTTACTTTATTGATCCTGCAGGGAAATTTGTATATTCTTTATGGTGCAAAGGCTCAAAGGCTTTCTTTTATTGTACAGCTTCCACTTACTCTATAAATTGTAGACTTCCCTGGTCTTACCTGGTAAGACTGTGGAACATCTTCAAAAAGCAGATTAACTCCAAAGGATATTGTAAGAACATGGTAATAGTACAGGAACAAACAAGGCTTCCTTTCACAGAACAGTTGCACCAACTTGCAAGGTTTTACTTGATAATGTTTTGGAATGTATGTGGTACAAGTTCCCAATTACTGGGTAAATACCTGGTAATTACTAGCGAAATATGGGAGTTTTTGCCAGGTACCATGTTCAAAACTACCCATCCTGGTGGGTGGTAGAGGATTGTAACCTACAATTACACAAGAAAAAACATGGCAATGTCATTGAAACAAACCACACTTCTTTTTACAGTACATTTCCACCTTCCTTACAGGATAAGTTCTGGATAACTAGCAGGTAAACATATGATAATTTTAGAGAAAATATCTGGTAATTACTAGGGAAGTATGAATTATTACCAAGTAACAATGACACAGTAAAAACTACCGTACCAGTAACACCACTACTAATTACCAGGAAAGTACATGGTAATATCATTTAAGCAAACCACACTTCCCTTTGCAGTACAGTTCCACCTTCCTTACAGGGTAACTACTCTGTAAAACTTTAATATCACCCCGATATTTTCCTGGTAATTATGAGGGAAATATGTGCCAGGTACCATGTTCAAAACTACACACCCTGATGGATGGTAGAGGATTATAACCTACAATTAGCAGGAAAGTACATGGTAATATGACAGAATCAAACCACGCTTCCTTTTACAGTACAGTTCCACATTCCTTACAGGGTAAGTTCTGGGTAAATACCAGGTAATGACCAGAGTGATTACTACCCTCACTGTCACTGCACAGGTTGATTGGTAATACATAAGCTATAATACTATCATAGGTAACCCTTCCTTTTAGCTGTAATAATATCATAATTCCTGGAGAAATACATGGTGGTTTGCAGTATATATCTAGTAACTACTAGGTAACTAGTTGGTATTCAGTGGGTAAATATGAGATAACTACCAGGTAAATAACGTGATACTTTATGAGTAAATACCTGGTAATTACCTGGTAAGCACTGGGTAATTACAATGTAACTACATTTAATTACGCTGTTATTACTAATAAATACATCTTATTGCCCAATAATAACCCAAGGTAATTTTTTTTTAACCAGCGGGTTTAAAATCCACAATATACAATTACTCCATATCTACAAGGTAATTATTGGGTACACCCTAGGAAAGTACATTGTCAGGAAAAATATCTTGTAAATACCAGGTAATTACCTGTAAGCACTGGGTAATTACAATGTAACTACATTTAATTACACTGTTATTACTAATAAATACATCTTATTGCCAGGTAATTACCTGGTTATTACCGGACTGTAAAAGGAAGGGTTACCAAATCTTTCTTTTTCTTTTCCTCCTTCTGAAATATTTATTTCTGAACCCAAACAAATTCTCACGTGACTTTTAATTTGTATCACTTGCCCGTTTCTGTGAAGGCCCACGATGCAGCAGCAGTCCACATATCTTGAAGCTATGACGGCCTTTATTCAGACTGGTGCTCACTTCTCACCACAAACTGCTGTCTGAGTTACTGTATGATATGAAAATTCTGCTGCTTCTGCTCTTCTACTAACCGATCCAGCTGCCAAATGGTCAGATATGCTTTTATGTGCTGTAGCAGGGATATTACAGCATGAGCTCTCCCTGCAGCTCGTACATCAGCTGGTGGCGAGAGCTCATAAAAATGACTCCATCCTCTACTGAAGACCAGAAAGCATCTCTGTGCCATTTATCTTCTGTTCAATTAGTGAGAAGGAGGGAGCAGGTCTGGTGGCAAGCGCTGCAGACGGGAGGGGGGTTTAGCAAATTAAATGTGAAATATGAATCTGTTAAATCTGCATTTTGCAAATTAGAGGTAATTTTAAGAGGCGTGTTTGCAGTGCAGCTCACTTAGTGAAATTCATGAACTGCAAAGAATTGACCATAACCTGAAGTTTTCAGTGTACATTTCACACACCGAAGCCTCACAGGGAGTTACTGCTGGTCATGAATTATTTATAGTCCCTGTTGCTTGTTGCTCTCTGTCTCCATGTCTTTTGTGGGCCGACTTCAGTTCTTCTGGTGCTTTCCGAAAGCCAGCCGCCTCGACCTTATCTCCCCCTCACTGAATTAACAGCCTTTGTATTGCGGGGTGGGGGTGTTAGTGCTTGGCATGATGGAAGTGAATGCCACAGCGCAGATGGATGGAGAGGTGAATCTGGTGTCAGGTAGTCATGGTAACCTACCAGGTGAGGATCATCACTGGATTGTCAAGAGTTTTGAGACATGTTTTAGTTTGTTGCATTTTATTATTTTGTCTTTTAGCATAATGGGGTGAATATGTGACTGTTTTATAATGACTTTATTTACAAAAGTTCACACACACATACACACACAGGCACACACACACACACACACACACACACACACACACACACTGATAAGGTTGGAGGAAAAGCAGAACCAAAAACAGACGAGAGAGTGGAGGAAGAGGCAGCAGGTGTGTGTCTGATAATGACCAGGTGGAGGTGGCTGGGCTCTGTTTTCCTGCATCGCTCCACTGACTCCTGGAGGGTGAAAGAAGGGAAGGGAAAGGAAAGAGAGGTGGAAGGAGGTGAGAGGATCCAAGAGTCTGGGGAAGTGTTACAGAGATATGGGAGTTATTTTATCACTCACTGCCTCCATCTCTGCTGCCCTCGCTGTCGTCTCCTCCACCTGGGCTCCTGTTAAAGCCAGGCTCCTCCGCCAGGTCTGTGATTGGACAGCTGGGGATCGGAGAGGAACACCAACCTGCGACGGCTTCATGCTGAAACCTTCATTTGAAATATTAGAGATTGTTTTCAGGCTTAATTTCTGAGTTTCACACACCCACAGTCATTCAGGTGTTGGGTTCAAACTGTTCAACCTTCTAAGGGCTGAAGATACGGATGCCCATCCAATCACAAATATTAAGTCAGGATCATAATCATGTCCTTTTATTTGTGTCAGAATGACCACACTCAGCTCCTGATCTCTGCTGTTGACCTACTTTCTGTATTTTACATCACCTTTTGATGGCGGTCATCCAGAAGAACCCTCTTGTTAGGAGCAGGAGATTGGCTGAAGGAGACCAGCAATGAATGAAATTGTCAGGAGCACCATGTTTCAAATCTCAAGGTTAGTTACAGTTTAACTGTGCTTAATTTGAGACAAAATTCTATCTTTCAGCGTGAACCAAATGTCAAATTAGCTGTGGAATTGCATGAGCATGTTTTAAGTGGGAATTTTGCAACAAAACAGATTGGAGACCAGGAAGGGGTGTTCAAAAATAAACAAGGTTGATGATATTGAAGAGGAGTTATTAAAACACCTAATACTTGTTTTTCTTTCTGTGATACAATTGGTCATTCTGAGGTTAACATGCGGAATGAAAGTGACAATGGTCTTCTATCCCTATTTCCTGCATTAGCCGCCAATAGAAAATACATGGGGAATTGTTTGGGTCAGAAAAAACACAGATCTATGTCACATTGTAAAGGATCATTTACGGAGTCACCCATATTGGCTTTTTACTGCACATGGCTGTGTTGATAGTGTCCAGAAGAGAGCAGTGCTCATCTCGGCTAGTAGTAGCTAACCGTTAGCATTAGCAACTCCACAGCATATCAGAACAGATTTGGGTTTGTTTTATTTGTGGAGATAAAACACAGCATTTTTTTTACCCAGAAAGAAGAGTGAACAGAAGCAGCAGAAGAGTTGCATTGCTGTTAGCCAATCAGAGATGAGATGTTTGCATATCATGAATATTAATAAGTTAGACTTCAAATTCTACGGCTAAGTTCTACATCCCAAAAAACAAGCACAAATGTTTTTTCTTCAGAAAACTACTCACAATACATTTATTCATTATCTGACATATGTTGTTTGATAAACTGTCTCCCTGCACTGTGATCCTCTAGAGCACGATCTCCAAGGTCAGCAATTCAGCATATCTTGGTTGTTTTCCTGCTTAAACACATCTGATTTTAATCAACAGACTGAACAGATGATTCAGCCATTGATATAAGTGTGTTGTAGCAGAGAAACACTTAAAACATGCTGGACTGCAGCTCAGGAGGATCGGAGTTTGGGTCCCTTACTTAATTGATTTTAATTACATTTTGTACTAATGGTTTGTTGTCTGCAACTGTGTGCTGCAAAAAGAACAAAATGTTCATGATCATGATCGGGATATGCTTCTAAATGGCTCTGAAACAACGGTCTTTGTCGTCTCCGTAATGCTCCATTACTGGTTTTGGCTCCTCTTGGTCCCTCCATCCCATAACACAAGCAACAGTTGGAACCAGACAACTTTTCACTGATGAGCCTTTATTTTAGGGCTGACATGTAAACTACATTCTGACATCTAGTGATGAATAACATCATCTTAAAGTGACACAATAAACTATGATTTTATAGATCACGTGCCATTTTTATATTAGTCAAATACTACCAGCAGTTATATGTCCTGATGTGTTCTGACATGTGACATTGGTTCTATTAGGATGCTGTTAGCGACTTCTGGTGCTGTAATTGTATTAAAAACTTTTTTTTTATCACCAGGGAATGCTTATTCTTAGAGCAGCTTATTGATATTGATAGACATGTCCTCTCCATCAAACAATACCTTGATTTTAAATCTGTGTTTGATTTGTTGTGTTGAGCTGTAAATTTGTAGCGTTTATGGAGGGTGAGAGTTGTGGAGGCTGAATAAGAGCATTCAGCGTCTTCCTCAGACACGGTTCAGTTCTCCAATGGGTCCAGGGCAACAGACCAAACACACACACACACACCCTGTTGGACTTTGGTGTGTGTGACCACGATCTTAAAACAAAATTGATCAATCATTCCAAGGTGTTTGTTCGATCAAATCAGGGTAGTTTGTTTTTAGTCACCAAAGAGTGTTCAGAGTATGAGAATCATTTATATTTTAGTTTTGAACTGATTTCTAAGCTAAACATGAGGTTGGCTAATATGGCTAATATGTAAATGCATGCATGTGCCCGCAGCAGCCCAACTAGCACACTGTTGTTCTGGTAATTATAATAGGAAACATTTCAAACTCAACAGACTGAGGCTTGATGATAACATAAAGATGCACCAAATTATTTTGAACGTCATTATTTCTTGAAGGACTTTTTGATTGGCTTCTGTAAAGATTATTGGCAGTTTATGGTTCCCCTCTTGGCCTGATAGAGCCCTCCTCTGTGTTTTAGACACCTCGGAACTGCTTTCACTTGTGAGGCATTCTCTTCTTATTCTATGTGTTTGAGTCAAAAACAACAAATGTCCTGTTTCTTAAATTAGTTACATTACCATAGAAACAAAAATACCAATATCTAGTTACTCTTCTTAGTAAAAAAAATAAAAAATAAAATGAATAAAACATAAAAATATTTGATTTTTTCTACTCAATATAAATATCCATTTATGCCAAATCTGGGGCTATGTTTATTTATCTAATCATTGATTTATTTACTATGGCAGCACCATATGGTCAATTCATAGCACTGTTGTCTTGCAGTATGAAGGTTCTGGGTTAGACTCCCAGTGTGGACTTTTGTGTGTGGAGCTTCTACGTTTAAATGTTTGCTGTATACTCCACTTTTCCACCACTCAAAAGTCTTAAGAAATAAGTTTAAATGTGTCAGATCAAAAGTTACGCCAACAGAAACAGACTAACCCCGGCTTTTCACCGGAAGCAGCTAATATGTACCGTTATAGTAAACAAGTGCATTTCCTCCGGCTGCAAAGCGTTGCTCTTTAGACCCAACCCAGAAGCATAGTTTGCTCCACTGAAGTTACGCTTCAGTACTTTAATGTGCTACACTTTCAGAGTGGTCAATCGAAGCAGTTCAGATCCAATCAGACAGGAAATCAGACACGGAGCAGTGTAACACATCCAGTAGCTTTCAAAATAAAAGTCACATGCAGATTTCTAGTTGCTTAACTAGTAAAATCAAATTTTCTGTGAAAACCTCAATATCCGAGGTGAACAGAAAATAAATCACATACCTGTTTAGATACATGCTGTCATCTTTCTCCCAGCTTGCTATTGCATAAACTGCCAAAATCACACGTGAACTTTCAATTCTTTGGTGATTTTGCTACATGGCAGGACCAGCTGCATTGAACACTTTCATTGTTGTTTCATTTCCAGAACACTTCTGGTGGGAAGAGATGCATCAGTGAGGTCACGGGGGAAATGCCTCTATTACGTTTCATGCTGCTTAGACATCTGGTGGAAGGTGCCACTAAGAGTAGATGTTGCCACAAGAAAAAAATAGAACAAAAAAACGATAAAACACCAAATGTTGCATAAAAAAATTAATTAATGTCCAAAATAACAGTCAAAAGAGTCATTCCACAGGCAGAACAATGGGATTACAGTTGTATTTTGACAGAACTCATTTTTACAACCAGAGAAGGCAAACATTATCTTCATGCTGTTAAACTAATAAACTAACTGAGCATGTTTGCAGACGATGTGATGTTGTACATGATAAATGCAAGTAGCATACTGGGACCATCTGCTTGGTGTCAGGCCCGTAAATCACATAGTAACGAAATCAAAATGGCTCTCTTGTAAACATGTTTCCCCTTCTGGTGTTTGGAGTAATGTTGGTTCCAGGATAAAACAAATAACATCTGGATTCACTGTGATGTATATCTCAATCTAAAACTTTTGATACTTTTGAAACATTGCTAACACAAATTCTGATGGGAACGATGTTATGCAAGTGCATCCATTGTGACCTTGCAAGTGCCAAATAAATGCACCAAAAATGTTTCTGTAAGCTGCAGAAATGAAAAAAGATGAAGTGTGCCAGAAGATTAGTGAAAAAATTGACTTTGTTTTGTGTGAGAGCCCTGGTTTTTATTTTCCCAGGATGGGACATGCTGGTGTCACACTGTCTGACACCTCAGTGCTATCTGCTTTGATTGTTTTGGTGTTTGGCAGATATGATGTGTCTCCCTCCCTACAGACAACCCCCCCAAGACACACACACACACACACACACACACACACACACACACACACACACACACACACACACACACACACACACACACACACACACTCCTTTGGATGAAGTTTGTTGTGTATGCTTTCATTCAGGAGAGAAAAATGAAGAGAATGGGAATAAAATGCTTGCCAGGCTAATTTTGAAAAAAGTTTTTGTCTCTGCAGAAGAGACAAGAACAAGTTTGTGACTGAAGAAGTGAAGGAGGAGTGAAAAATACAGCTTGGTGAGGGATGGTACGGCACAGGCAATTACAGACAACACAGCAGACACTGTGCAGAGCAAGGATCTCACTCTAAACACACACACACACACACACACACACACGCACACACACACACACACACACACACACACACACACACACACAATTTATGCACACCAATTTAAGACACTGGCAACGAGAGATAATCTGGAGTTCTTTTTGGAAAAGTTTATATATTCCAGCTAAAATCCATTTAAGGCTTCCTGTTTGGCATACTGATAAACATGCTGTACAGAAATTATGCACACACACACACACACACATCCATGCACACTCACACACAAATCGCCTCCATAAAACTGGCTTCCACAGGCAAACATAAACAAGCTGAAGCCAAATAAGCAGGACTTTGCATACCAGCATACAAAGAGCGTCTACCTTATCGCTCCAGGTTCTATTACACACACCTAAACACACACTCATGCAATCACACACATGTGTACACACTAGGGTATTTGAGGAAAGGTGGCATCCACTCTATTGGTTTTCGAAGATGTTCCTGAACTGCAGAAGGGAGAGGCTCTAATGCAAAGAGACAGATTTGGGTCAGTCACTCACAGCTGGGATGAATATAGAGGGAGAGAAGGAAAAAGTGCATATTGAAGTGTGTGGGATGGGGTGAAAGATGACAAGAAGAACGACAGTCCAAGGAGGTAGGAGTCACTTGAGTCCTGCAGGAAGATGAAAATATGTGAGAAAGCTGTGCACACAGAATAAAAATAAATATGATAAGGCAATTGAAAGAAGGGGTGGGGGTGGGGTGTGTGTGCGTGCTGGGGGTGGGGGGTGGGGGTGGGGGGGGTGGGGGGGGCTAGCAGGATACAAATGGAGAAGGTGTTAGGGAGGGCCAGCAGTGCTGGAGGAGGAAGTGGAAGAAACTGTAGGGAGGTGGTAATTGACATAAAAAGAAAGTGACAAGTGGAAAGATGAGTAGTAGGGAGGAGAAGAGTCGGAAAGGAGGAGAGAATTACTATTGAATGAGGAGCGTGGAGCTAAAAAACAGCTCTGGAAGGTGATGCAGAAGAGAGAAGAGAACACGCTGTCAGACAGAGTGACACTAGACACGTCTCAGCAACATTTTAAATCATTGAACAAAACAGCCTTGTGTCATGACGAGGGATTGTACTCCGCTGCCACCTAATTGATGGAGAAGGGTCACGCCCTTTTCTAGAGATAAACGGTGGCGTCCGTTAGCTTCATCTTTCACTCTCATCTGACACAAGAATAAAACCACAGAGGTAAAGACTTTTTCTACCGCTTGGTTCAGACTTTACATGTTATCCAAACATGGCTACAGACTAACTAGCAGAGCCTGTTCTCCTTCAACAACACAACAAAGTCACTCTTTAACCAATCCAGTGTGCCTTCTGATTTAGGTTCAGCACATAAATGTTTGTGTGACAAAAGTTCTTTCAGAATAGCTCTTGTGGGCATCGGAACCCTTCTCAGCATCCACGAGTTGTTAAATCCGAGAACGGTGAGACAAATTTGGACAGAGCTAGGGTAGTGGCATTCAAAGCATGAAATAACTGCTCAGAAACTGAACTGCAAACCAATTAAGACACGATTCGTAGCTAAATGGAGACAGCTACATTAGCATAAATGTAGCACAGATGTTGCTATTTCATTTGAGGTGTGCAAAAATGGAATAAAGTCAGAACAAGAGATACGCAGATATATCTGGTCAATGCCGACATGCCTCGTGAGTTGAGCCAGTTAATAAAAACAGGCACATCTTTGGGCTGCTTGGTGCAAAGAACGGCAGCTTAATAAATGCTCTATAACACAGACATTTCTTTTTATTTACCTGTTTTAGATTTAATACTTTATCAGTTTATTGATTTGTTTGAATAACTTTAGTTAATTGACAAGTGTGCAGAAAATTAAGTTTTTACAGTCGGTTGAACTCAGAACGTTTTCAAGTTCAGAGATGTGCCTCCACTGTCGTTGTTTTAGTATGCGACAATGGCAGGCGAGTTAAAAGCATTGAGAAATCAGCCATGAAAATCGGCCCCAAAATCGGTGGCACATGTCAGCCACCTGACTTCTAGAGTTCTTCATCGGCATTAAAAAAAACATGTCAGTCAATCTCTAGTCAGATCAGAATTTTACTGAATCTTGTCTCCCAACCAGTTACCAACTGTTTCAGCGTATCGAGTAACTAGATAGGACATAATACAGAAACTAAAGCTGAGATGATCTTTAATGGCTTTACAAGTAAGCACAAGTAAACACAAGTAAACACAATGCTTAGACAATTCAAAAATGGGTACAGGCAGAAGCAGAAGCTTATAACCCCAGAAGCTGAATTAAGAAGAGCACCACACTAAACCCTCACCCCAACTTGGACTGGTTTCAGCCTCCAGGATGAAGAGTGAGACAGTTTCCTGACTGGCTGACATTAGAGATGAGCTGATTAAAAAGAAAACACATTTCAATAATGAAATGAACAAATGACTGTACACACCCAGAGCTAAATCGGCTCTCTGCTTACAGTTCTGATTAAACACGATGCAGACTTCATCAGGACCCACTCAAAAGTGCTAAACACGAGGCTTGGAATGTCTCAGTATAAAGAACTTCAATGAATGGAGTCAAAAGCAGAGGGAGCCTTTTAGAGTGGTAGAGGCATGCAGGGGCACTGTTACCACGGTAACTCGTGCCTTTTGAGCTTTCTGTAAAGTTAACAGGTGTGTGAAGGGATGCATGTATTCTGCAGCAATGAGAATAATCACACACTGACATTCTTGTTAAGAATGTAAGTGATAGGAGGTGATGAACTCTGCAGGAGCCGCAATGCCACGTCACTGAATGGGAGTAGTTTTTAAACACTTAAGCAACTCTAAGTGCTGCAATGCTACTGCATTAAGCAGCCAGCAACCTCCAGCTCTCAGGTTTTAGCAATCGATTCTGACCGGGCAGAACAGCTTGTTACTCTATTTTTTATTATTATTATTATTGCTGGACCACAGACTATTAAGCATACAGTCTAGTGGTGTTATAGTTTCCCTCACACATTGGACTGAGAGTAATAAAGGTGATGTCTCTGTTCCAAATGCTAAGCTAATTGGACGTGATTTTTTAAACATTCCTCCATAAAAATACATGCATCCAGCTCCGCAGGGGGCAAAAAAAACCACATTTCACACAGCTTTGATAAACAGCTACAGTTGCTATGCAGAAACAAGTCACCTGAGTCGTAACTAGAGAAAAATAGACGTGGGTAGGCACTTGTTTGAACTGGATGTGGGATTAATTTATTGTGACTCGAGGCACTCTGAGATGAAATACAGCTGATTGGTTCTGGAGTCGGTCGTGTTTGTCACATTTTTGCATCCCTGGAATTGATTTATAATGAACTGATCTTTCCTCGACACATTTAAAGCATTATATTAGGTGAGCAGAGTCAATGATGTTTTATTCCATGTTTCTGCTGAATTAGAGCACTCTAAAAAACACAATATACACAAACAAACACATAATAAACACAAAGAAAAACATTATTCATCCTCACCACAAACAGAAATGCTGTGAGTTACGATGATTTAGTAGGAAACAGTTTGTATTTCTAAAATTACTAATGTTTTCTATTAAACATAAAACACAATATAGATACAAAGCAGGACAAATTATATACTTTGAAAAAGATTTGTGTGTGTCTAGAGAAAAAAATATATCCTATTTCCTCACACACACTTCTCACTGACCATATTCTGCTTGGATGTGTGTGTGTTCCTGTCTGCCCAGATGAAAGTGTGACCCCTGGCTTTCAGGAAGACAGCACAGAGAGTCAGACGGAAGAAAGGATGGAGGGATGGACGGCGGGTTTGATGAATAGAGTGGTGCTGAGAAAAGTGTCCTGGCAAAAGAGAAGAGGAATGAGGTCATTATCTCTGTTCTCACCTGTGGCCTCAAGTCCACACACACACACACACACACACACACACACACACACACACACACACACACACACACACACACACACACACACACACACACGCGCGCGCACGCACACACACACACACACACACACACACACACCTTTCTCCTCAAACCACCTTTTTTAACTCTTTTCTGTGTAAACTCTGAATCCTTTTTCCTGAATTTGTGAAGGTTCCTTGAGTCCTAAACGTTCCTCTATCCTAACTCAACACTGTCTTCCTCTCGCAAGTAGATTCAACCATCAAACTCATAACTGTGAATGATGTGCTTCTCAGTTTGCTATTACAACAGCATTTACCCCGAATCTCTCCCAGACCCATTACAAACACTTCTCCCCCTTTCATTCCACCACATCCCTTCCTTAGACCACAGTAGCCTGTAATCACATCCACTGAACCATGATCACCCTTCTCCTCCTCTTCCTCCTCTTTGTCTTCCCTCCCCCACATCTCTTTGGCAAGGAGGGTCATGCCTCTTGAGGCAGCGGAGCAGAGAAATTGCCTGTTATCGAGGGTCGATTTTTCATGCGCTTGTAAATTGCTTTGTATTGACACTCTGTCAGAGTCGGGTCGTCACACCGGCCCGGGCCGCTCGCCACCCCGAGGTCGCGCCGCCGATCTCCAGGTGCTTCCACCGGGACTGTGAGTGGTCAGGCAGGGAAGAGAGGGTGTGGTTAAGACATGGATTTCTGTTGGGAGAGAGAAGGGTTTAAATTTGGGCTGAAAACTGAGGCTTTCTTGTCTGTACTTACTTGTAACTTACTTTGATGCCTGTTGCACAATTAAATATTGAATTGATCAAAGTTCCACTTTCTTCTAAAAATAGCACAAATTACTTGTTTTTAGCTCATCAGCTTAGAAAATTGTGTGCTTTTATAGTTAAACACGTACTGTCAGAATAAAAAAAGAATATTTTAGTTTGAAAGTGATTGGCACGTGCTGACCTCCATTAGATCTGTAAAGATGCAACATCATTTAAAGCCTGTTTCTAAATTAGTTAGCGGTGCTATTAATAGAAATCTTTGAGCAGAGTTTATCTGATGTGCATCAAACTACCTGCAGCTTTAGTCCTTTAGTCTGGCTGAACTCCAGTGTATTTTTTTTCCTTACTCACCTCTGGTTATAATCTCACCCATCTCCCTTGTCAACCACGTTGCCTTTTATTGTTCACGCGCTTCACTATTTCTTCCCCACTCATATATTTCCTTTCTGTCATGTCCCCTACAGCAATATTAAACATGTCTGCACCAAATTTGTTGACAGTTTTTCTCACTAATAAGATATTTCATGTCTTCTCTGACTTTGAACTACCTGAAATGTGTCCTGCAACTGTTTCTGTGCCCGGTCACTTGGTAGCTTTCCACTAAGAAGCTCAGTACAGATCCACAACACAAGCCATGAATAGAACTGTGCCTCGGTGCAGCGCGTGTTGTGTAGGAAGTCTGAGGAGAGTCACTAGAGATGTATTAAAGCTGAGCTCCTCAAGCTCTACAAGAGAGGGAGACCTTTTTACCACCTCTGTGATTAAATGTAAGTCCATCTTCTGTCAGTTTTAAAGTTTTAATAATAAGAGCATGAAACAATTTGTTTTAAATGATTAAAAACTAAATGTATTAGTACAAAATCACACAACTTAATTATTAAATGAAAACACAGTTAAAATGTAAAAACTGTGGTAAACAAATGACCACATTCCTGATTGTGATTGTTTGTTCTTGTTTAAGAATGATGACAAGCACCCACTTCATATTGCTTCTGATTGCAGATGAAGTCTTTTTTTTTTTGCTGCTTCACCTGCTTTTCAGTTACATTTTTCAGTTTAGCATTTCTAAATTTTACCTCTGAAGAAAAAGTTACTGTCAGAAAAATAACAAACACCAAAGAACAAATCATTTTTTGAAAACCACAACTCATTCACAGAAAAAAACTAAAACACCTCAGAAAGTTGTGAAGGTAAACCAACTGCAAATGCAGCTTATTGGAAGACAAGAAGAAAATACAGAGAAGCTGAAATGTTTACAGCAGTAAAATGACCAGCATGTTTCAGTTTAACAGTTAAAATGTGAGGAGCGAAGACGTCAACGCCCCTATTTCTAAACACGCTATCAAAAAACACTGAGGATAATACAATGATCTTTCTGTAACTCTCCCTCCCCATCTGTCCCTAAGTCCAGATGAATCCATGGCGCTGTCCTTGGTGCTGAAGTTACAATCAAAAGTAAGAACCAAATAGGCTTCTGAGTCCCATCCAGCCACTCTTAAGCAGATGTTAGAACAACATTCTGTAAGCATATAGTGACAGTGGAGATGAAAACTCCCTTTTAACAGGAAGAAACCTCCAGAGGATCCTGGCTCAGTATAAGCAGCCATCCACCACGACTCACTGGGGATTGAGAAGACAGAGCAGACACGCGCATACAACAACACCAGCCCACACACACACACACACACACACACACACACACACACACACACACACACACACACACACATACACACACACACACACACACACACACACACACACACACACACACACACACACACACACACACACACACACACACACACACACGCACACGCACACACACACCTGCGGAGAAACATAGCATTTTCATAATTTTTAAATGCAGTTTTTACTGCAAAAGCTAGATTTAATAAATGTGAATATAAACACATCTGTTTAATTCAAAGGTAAGTGAAGGAGCCTGATAGCTAAAAGATCTGCCTTCTATCCAATTTTTAGATCTTCTAGAAACCACCAGTAAGCCTGCAGTCTGAGAGCGAAGTGCTCAGTTAAAAACACATAAAACAATCAGATCACTGATGTATGATGGAGCTTGATTATTAAGAGCTTTATATGTGAGAATGAGGATCTTAAAATCTATTCTATTAATGTTGTTGTGTTCTTGTTTTTGCACTTCGGACATTACATTTGCATGGGAAATGTTGTTTATGTTATCTTGGTCTTTTATAGCGCTAACCACAGTGATCAAAGTTACCTGGCAGACAGTGGTGGTTAAAAGTTCTTCTGAATTAAACAACACACTTACATCAGTTTGATCTGTCACTCTTTACCTGAAGGACACTCTGCCTGTCAAACACTCTGAAGATGGACGAGTTGCCTTGATTCACTCCAACTCTCATGATGCTGCTAGCGGCATAGCGAGTGCTAAATCATCTACTGAGTTTAGATTAGAGAGAATTTAGATTTGCAGCAAAACTGGAGATGGGCAAAAGAAAAAAGGGAATATAATTTCAGCATATTGGTAGACATTTATAACACTCGTTACTGAAGGAGGTGGACATGCCATGCTGGAGCTGCTCTCAGCTGGAAGAAGAACTCCAGAAAAACCACAGAATGATCAGAGAATGATCAGTTTTGCAGCATCAGGTTAATTTCATCCTTTTGGTTTAGGGTCAAGTGCTCTACAGGTGATTCCTTTGATGAGAAACTCGACTTTCCTTAATGGGCATTCTTGTACAATAACAGGATTCATTCACATGCCACAAACAGAGTTTTACAGTGTATGTATGTCTACATTAGTAGGTTGCATGAAGCGTGGTATTTGGAAGGGCAGACTGTGTGTAATCCCTCACAGCTGGTGTGATTGTGGGAGAGTTGGGCGACTGCTCTGCTGGCAATAGTTTTAGGTGGAGATTTAAGTTCGGCGATCACAGAAAATAGATAGCATGAGCAGAAATAACTGTAATTACTTCATGACCCTGACAAACAATACACAATAGAAAGTATAAACCTGAATTCTAGTGATGTTTTGTTGTATTTTGAGGCTTTATGGTGTATAGAGACACCCGCTAAAGCACCAAACATCATAAAGTACCTCTCCTCCAGTTTAAAGCTGAACCAAAGACATCAGGTGCTGCATAAGAGATAGCAGACATATATTCACGTTTCTCTGCAGCCACTGGCGTCAGTGCGGTGCCATGTCTTTGGCAGGCTGTGCCGATGTCTGTGTTTAACACCCACTCTCTTGGTGGGGTGGCGCTGCGCTGCGCTGGCACAGATCTCGTGCCAAGCTTTTTATCTTTTTTTTCTCATGCATTGAGAGAGCAGTGAGAAGATGGTTGAAATGGATACAAAGAGGCACGGTGTCGAGGAGAGATAGAGCTGTGAAAGGCGTGCAATAATGAAAAGACCATGAGGACATTTAAAGCCTGGTCAGGAAGGAGAAACGGATGCAGTGCAAGGAATCCTACAGAGATGAAAAGATGGGTGGGGCGGGGGTGCAGATGCAGCATGGAAGCAAAGTTGGAAAGGGAGAAGCAGAGACTGATGAATGAGTGGAGAGAAATACGGAATGCCTGGGATTCTCTCCGATGTAGAGCCAAGCCAGCCCTCCAGGCAGATGCCTCCTCCTCCACCCTGTTTGCTCCACCTGCTTCCCTCCTTTTATCCGCCCGCTGTCCTCCTCCTCTGTCCAAGACGCCACACAGCTGCATAACCACTCCCTGTGCATTTCAGCTCATCTGCCAAGAGTCCTCTAATATGCATCCAGCCCATCTCAAAGCAGATAAAATGTGAAAATGCACATTTATTAATCCAACAAACAAACTGTGATATCTGCAGGTGTGAGGACTCATGGGTTCTCCGTCATTCACTAAATCACATCAGCTTCACCACACCTGCAAAACACAAAAAGCAATTCTGTTCTAATTTTTATGACACATAGTCATTATTTTTGTATCAGTTACAGTCTTATTTAAACAGTTTTTTTCTTTTTAGTCCTCCTGACATGTGGGGGAAGGGTTAACCTTTTTTTTGGCCTCTGTGAAACCCGACGAACCGAGCCAGACTTTGTAAAACTTTGTGAATTTAGTAAACATCTGATTGTTTGAAAATGTTCATCCAGTAGAATTTGAGACCATTTTTAATGCATTTCTTGCTCCAACACACAGAATTTATAAGCCTTGCAAATGTAATGCAGTCTGTACAAATACAAACACAGCGCTTCTATAATAGATGCACAATCTTGTTTTCAGTGTCAGACCAGGACTTTTTGCCTGAGGATCAATATAGACAAGCTGCCGCTGTGCCACTGAGCAACACACTGATGTAATCTGAAGTCTCGGCCTTGGCTGAACTTTGCAGAAAACCACAGACTGATGAGAAGTGAAACAAACTATTAAAACTACATCAAAAGATGACTCACCCTATCTTTTTCTTCTGTGTTTTCTAACACGCTGTCTATAGAGAGCTGGATTTACAAATAGCTGAAAATGCCGCCATGGAGATTACTGCTTAGCTGGCATTATCAGACACTAAAGACAGGGGAATTTGGGTCTGGAAGTTTACTAAGAACATTTTATATCATTTCTGAGTAATGAAGCCATTCTAACTTTTATTTATTTATTTTTTTTTTTGTTGAAATTCAAACTGTTATCTCTTGCTGACACTTGCGACTGTGAAACTGCAAACTAGGCTTGTAGGGTCTTTAAATGTACAAAAGCCACATTTGTTTCTGTAATTCCCTTAATGCATACTGTAGGTTGCTGCATAGAGATAAGGAATGTTAAGCCACTGGGTTGGTGCACTGACAGCTTGTTCAGATTCAGCTGCTAAATGAAAAAAAATCTTTCAGTACAGGTGATATTCTTTATATCTGCACAACAATCTTTCAAATGTATTCATATATTACACACTGAATTTAATCTACAGTTTCAGATTATTGAAACAGATTTAAAGACAAACATGGTCATCCTGGCTGAAAAACTATATTTAAGATTAAATACAAGAAACACAGATGACATCACGTTGAAATGGAATAAATCTCACTTTCCGTGTGTGTGTGTGTGTGTGTGTGTGTGTGTGTGTGTGTGTGTGTGTGTGTGTTTCATCAACATAAATATAGGTTTTTTTTACACATATAGGACTGCATGAGACGCTGGTTTATTGCACTTGCTACTCCACATACGTATTTCATGAGCATTTTTAACTCAGAAGTACCCCTGAAGGACTTAGTTGCTCATCCTTTTATCAAAACTTATTTTGAGCCTGAGAGGGTTAAAGTAAATGAGGGTTAAGTACACAACTTTTGAATAAGTTAAACACTGATGATGAGAGAGGTAGGTAATAGGCATGTTTCTTAAAATGCAAACGTTTTTTAACAAAATATAACATTTAAAATGACAACATGATTGTTGATGACCATGGCAGGACCAGAACAGAGAACACAGTCCTTTTTTATCTAGTCAGCTGCTTAAAATCGTTGTCATTTGGAATTGAGATCACGATTAATTGTGCAGCCCTAGCACACACCCAAAATGAGAAATGATTCAATGTTTTTTGATAATTATTGATTTCTCTGCAGCACAATCACTAAAAAGCCCCAGGAAAACTGTGCATGCCAACACCTAAGTGTGTGTGAAGTTTGACAAAAGCATCTTTTCATGGTTTTCTATAAAATAAGTCTTTGAATCACTCTTAGTCTGACCTCTCAGCTGAGAAAGCTCTGCCAGGGTAGACTCACCTGGAGCCGAGACCCCGACACAACAGCCTTCAGCCTTCATAGAGATGCACAAACCCAGCCACCGCGTTAAGGTGGTGATTCAGCGGATGGGATGCACTCACTCACTCACTCACTCACTCACTCACTCACTCACTCACTCACTCACTCACTCACTCTAGGGCTGGGCAATAAAAAAAATGCATTGTAATCAAAATGTCTGACTCTTATCGAGATCATTTTGCCACGTCAATAAATTTTATCATAAAAAAAAGAAAATATGTGTGATGGTTGGCATCGTTCATGTCCCTTTA